CCTTTGGGTTTTCCACATAAAGTATAAAGCAGGCATTTTCCCCTAGTATAAAGAGAGGAGAGAAAAACTGTGGCAGAAAAATATATTCAAAGAAATAATGGCTGAAAGTTCCCAAATTTGGCAAAAGATATAAACCTATGGATTCAAGAAGCTGAATGAATCCAAAAGAGCGTATTTCCATGTGTTTATTGGCCATTGGTATATCTTTGGTGAAATGCTTATTCAAATATTTTGCCCATTTTCTAATTCTCATTATTGAGTTATAAGTTCTTTATATATTCTTGATACAAGTCCTTTATCTGATCTATGATTTGCAAATATTTGCTCCCATTCTGCTGCTTATCTTTTCATTTTCTTGAGGTGCTTTACAGAGCACAAAAATTTTTAATTTTGATAAAATCCAATTTGTCAAAATTTTAATTTGTTGCTTGTGCTCTCGGTGTCACATGTTGAAACCATTGTGTAATCCAAGATCATGATATTTACTCTTAGGGTTTCTTCTAATAGTCTAATAGTTTTAACTCTTACGTTTAGGTCTATGATTGATTTTGAGTTAAATTTTGTGTACCGTGTGAGGTAAGTGTCCAAATTCATTCTTTTGCATGTGGAGAACCAATTGTCCCAGTACCATTTGTTGAAAAGGCTTTTCTTTCTCCCTCTGAATTGTCTCAGCACCTTTGTTGAGAATCAGTTGACCATAAATCAATTCTATTGCATTGAGCTTTATGTCTAAACCTATGCTAATGCCACACTGCATTGACAACCATAGCTTTGCAGTAACTTGTGACATTGGAAGTATAAATCTTCCACTTTGTTCTTCTTCTTCAAAATCATTTGGCTATCCTAAGTCCTTCATATTTCCCTATGAATTAAGAGGCCTTTTAAGCTGAGGGAGCAAGCCATACAGATAGCTGGCAAAGAAAGCAGTCCAGGCAGTAGGAAGAACAAGTACAGTGGCCCTAAGGTGTGAATGTGCCTGTTTAAAGAACAGTTAGGAGGCCAATGTGGCACAGTGGACAGGAGGAGTACTAGGAAACAGGGTCAGAGAGGTAAACAAGTCAGGACAGGGAGGGGGCCAATATGTAAGACCTTCCTGCCTTGTAAGAAATTTGGCTTTACTCTGAGTGAATGCAGAAGTGATTGGAGAGTATTGAGCAGAGCAGTGACATGGTCTGACTTGTATTTTAACAGATTCACTGTGGTTGCTGCGTAGACAAATTACCAAAGGAGCAATAACAACAGCAAGGAGGGAAGTTAGGAGATGCAAGAGATGATGGTGGCTTGGACTGAGGTGTTTCCAGTGGGATGAGAAGAGATGAGAAGTAGTAAGCCAATAGGATTTAAGAAAGATTGGATGTAGAGTATGAGAAAGAGGAGTCAGCAATGTCTCCAAGGATCTGGGCCTGAACAACTGAAAGAATAGGATGGCAAAGCCCAAGTCCATTGGGAGGGAGGAGCAGGTTTAGAGAGGCAGATCACGTCAGTTCTGGATGTGACCAGTTTGAGGTACTCATGAGACACTGGAAGTACACATTTAGAGTTCAAGGGAGTGGTCTGATCTAAAGAAACACAAATTTGGGAGTTATCAACACAAAGATAGTCTCCATAGGTGATATTTAAATCTGGCAGGAGCCTGAGACTAGATCAGATCACCTAGGGACAGATAAAAAATAGAAGAGGTCCAGAGATTGCACCATGGACACTACAGTGGTAAGAAGCTCAGGGGATGAGAAGTCACCAGCAGGGAAGCAGAAGGGGGTCTGAGGGAACAAGAGCAGCTCCAAGTCTCCTGAACTATAGATTCACAAGTAATCTCTCAGGGTGGGACACTTGCATATTTCTACATCTACCACAAGCTAGGATCTCCTCTATGTTTGGTCACATTATCAAGGCCCAGCTCAGAGATGGATCCTCTTAAGGTCAAAAGTCTGCAGGACTAAAGTGCGAATGATTGGCAAGCTTATCCTCCTCAGGGGATATACGATGTAAGAAAAGTCAGTTGAGTAAAATAAACCTCTATTTGTTGGGCTGTTGTAAGGAATGAGGTCATTTTATACAAGAAAGAACTTTCTTTATCTCCTGGGATGGAGAAACAAGCTCTTAGGGAAGCATCAATCCTCTTTCGGACCGTATGATCTTAGGGGCCAAGAGAGTGTCTGGGACCCAAGCACAGCTCATAACACCTTGAGCAGGTGCATACTGCCTTCCTCAGTCAGGGATAAGGCAAGAAGTGGGCTGTGCGCCTTGCTGAACACTGTCTTTATTTTTTTTTAAGATTTTATTTATTAATTTGTCAGAAAGAGAGAGAAAGAGTGAGAGAGCACAAGCAGGGGGAGCGGCAGGTAGAGGGAGAAGCAGGCTCCCCGCTGAGCAGGGAGCCTGATGTGGGACTTGATCCCAGGACCCTGAAATCATGACCTGAGCCGAAGGCAGACACTTAACCGACTGAGCCACCCAGGCATCCCTGAACACTGTCTTTAAACTCAAGTTCTGCCCTATCGTGCCCCTAGCTTCTCTTCCATCCCTCCCTGTCTCTGTTACCATCTCCTCTTCTCTCAACCTGCAGCCTAGTGCCCCAGCCTCCTTTTTCACAAAAAAGGTGGGGTCAGGAACATGGATGAAATGGAGAGCTTCGGTTTTTCCACTCAGGTCTTCATAGTTCCATGAGAAGCCTAGTGTCCCTATTTTCCTTCCCCTTCTCACAAACACCAAATCCCACCCCTGCCCACCAGTCAGCAAACCCGAAGGTGGCAAAAGCAGGGACTTTTCACACTAGGTTTTTTTCTGCACAGGACTCCATCCGCACAGCTGCCACCAATTAAGAAAGGTGATAGGAAAGTGACAATGACATGAATAGGACAGAAACATGGACAGGAAACTCATGAAAAAACAAGAATAGCCACTAAACAGAGGAAAATAATGTTAGCCCTACAACAAAGCACAATTTGAAACAATGAGACACCACTTCACCTGGTAAGTAAGTGGTAAGTATTCGGATCCCCAGGGTTGGAAAGAGTAAGGGCATGCACAGATACCACCACCCAGGTGCAGTCTTGTCTGCTTTCTGGAGAGTGGCTCGGCAACACTCACAAGCTTTTAAAATAAGTCTATCCTTTGACCCTTCGACTCAGTGGTTTCACGTCTAGGAATTCAGCCTAAGGAAATAACTTAGACAACCATGCAAATATGTTCAAGAATCTTTATTGCAGCATATAGTATTTTTAAGGTTTGAGATCCACCTAAATGCCCCCACAATGGGAAAGTGGTTTCAATGAACGAGGGTTTATCAAACAGTGGGGTACTGGTCAACCATTAAGGCCGATGCTAGCCCAAGGGTCTTCCGGTGTGCTGCATTGAGGAAGATGCAGCCTCACTTCAGTGGTGTTCCTGGCCCACAGTGCATAAATTGAAGAAACATCAGACGTACCTAAACTTAGGAACCATCTACAAAATAACTGACCTGTCTTCTTCAAAAATGTTAATATACTGAAAGCAAAGTCAGTCCAAGGAATTGTGCCCATATTAAAGGATGCTGAAAAGACATGACAACTAAATGCAAGGCATGATCCTGAACCAAGAAAAAAAATTCATTACCAAGGCCATTATGGGGCAATTGGCAAGTTTGGAATATGGACCGTAGATTATAGTATTATATCAATTTAAGTTTCCTGATTTTGATAGTTGTACTGTGGTTATGTAAAACATGTTCTTGTTCTTAAGATATTCACAGCCATGTGTTCATAAGTAAAGAAATAACCTTGTGTACAGCTTACCTCTCAAATGGCTCAGAAACAAAAAATACCGCGTATTTAGAAAAATCATGTTAAGCACCTGTGGTCATGATGTTGATGGGTGATTCTGAGTGAAGAGTACCCTCTGTGAGCTTTAAATGATTTCCAAGTAAAAAGGGTTTTAAAAAAGGAAGGTACTCTGGGCACACCAGGCTGCAGCCTTGGGCACCCCAGTGCTGGGGGGTTGTGCATGGCTGTGGATGACACCTCCTGTCACCCAGACTCTCAGTTCTCAGTGCTACTAACTCAGTGTATGGCTGACCCCAAAGCTGTCCTGGGTTGACTCACAAAGGTAGGATGACTCAAGGCCATGAATTTTCTCTTGTCATTTTATTTACTCCAATTTTGAATTCAAAATCTGGCATTCCTGGGGCACCTGGGTGTTCAGTCATTTGGGCATCCAACTCTTGATTTCAGCTCAGGTCATGATCTCATGGTTGTGGGATCAAACCCTGCATCGGGGTCCGCACTCAACTCTGAGTCTGCTTGAGATTCTCTCTCCCTTTCCCTCTGCCCCTCCCCACCGTTCACACTCTCTCTCAAAATAAATAAATAAAATCTTAAAAAAAAAAAAACCACTGGCATTCCTTGCATGCCAGGATCTCTGTGGTGGGGGGGAGGGGGGAAGGGAACTTACCCAAATGTAGTGCTGTGGATAATCCAGACTGCAGATTTTAGTATCAACAACGTTCATTTATCATTGATGATGTCCTTACACGTTCCCCAACAAAGGCAGGCTCAGATTTCCCCCAGAACCAGCCCAGTATGTTGCCTATTCCCCAAAAGAAGAAAACTAAGCCCCCAGCAAGGGCCAAGGTAAGGGCAAGAAGTGTTCTGGGTTTCCTCTGCCAAGGTTAGTAGTTTCAACTTATGGAAAGTTGCAGGTTGTCCAAGAAGCATGGATACGGACCTGGAAGAGATGTCTCAGCACCCCACACCTCTGTTCCCGGTTCTGACCCTCCCAAGGCAAGGGGCAGCCACCTTGCCATTCTCCTCTCTAGAAAGGGGAGACCACGCAATAGGGTTCAGTCACAGCCTCCCCCGCCAGCCCAGTGCTCCCCTTCTATCACCTACCCTCCAGCCACACAGTCCCACCCGCCCTCTCCCCAGGGGTTGTCAGGGACAGAAGGCCCCTCCCTCATCCCCCTCAATGTTCCCGCACTCCTCCCCCTCCCATCGCTAGGGTGTCCAGGACATTGTGTGACTCAGGAAACAGCTCAGACGTGAGGCTTGCAGCAGGCAGAGGAGGAGGAAGGGGCCGTGGGAGCAGAGGAGGTGGCTGCTGCCTCAGTGAGGGCTCTCAGGGTCCTTGCCCGAGGCGGCCAGGGGTCTGGGTTTGGGGCAGGGGCTCTGGGATGCAGCCCCCTTCACTGCTGCTGCTGTTGCTGTGTCACTCAGTCGTCAAGAGCAGAGGTGAGGCATGGGGCGGGAGAGGTGGGGGACCCATCTTCCTTGAGAGGGCGTCGGTGGGTTGGGGGCAGGGGACACTGGATGGAGGAGAGTTTCACACAGGGAGGGAGGACTCTGCCCGTGGAGCTGAACAAACCAGGCTTTGGGGCCTGTGCCAGGGGCAGTGACTATCAGGGGAATGAGTGGGAGGGTGCCTGCCCCCAGGGAGAACCCAGCTGACCTTGGAGCTGGGGGACAGCAGGCCCTTGCAATCACATTCAGGAGGTGAAGAGGGAAAAAAACTGATCACCTGCTAAGGGAGGCTACGACAAGAAAGCAGGAGATGGAGACATGGGAAGGTCAAGGGCTGACCAAGTCCCTTTCCTGGTCCAGCTGTCCCCACCCCCCGGATGGCTCAATGCTGGGCCCTTCCGGGAGGAAATCCCTTCAACGTCTCAGCCATTCACCTTCCTGGAGTCCCTTGGGCCCCCCTCCTGAGCCCTGTTGTCCTGCTTCCCAGGGATGGAGCCCGCGGCTGGACTTGGGAGGCTGGAGAATAAACAGGAAAGGGGGTGGGGATTAAGAGTTGAGAGGATCTAGAGGCCTGTGATTGGGAGAAGGGGGGGGCTGAGGCAAGAGCCCCACGTGGGGACCAGGAACAGAGGGGATGGTGGTTGAGAGCACGTGTATGGAGCTGCTGCAGGCAGGTCCCTCCAGAGCACCCAGAGGAGGAACCAGGGAGCACGAAGCCCCCCAGTCCCATGCCATCCTCATCTCCATCCCCAGTGCTGCACTGTGGGGGCTCCCCAGAACCCTGTGCCAACGGAGGCACCTGCCTGAACCTATCTCAGGGACAAGGGACCTGCCAGTGAGTGTGCCTCCTGGGAGAGAGAGACTGGAAAGGGGGAGGGAGCGCAGGGCGGAGGGGGGCCTGGGAAGGAAGGAGAAAGGGAGGCCGTGAAGGCTCTGAAGAGAAAGGAAAGCAAAGGAGGGAGGTGGGAGGGCGAAGAGGGCCCAGTGACGCGAGTCTTCCTCTCTCCTGCCCCCACTCAGGTGTGCCCCTGGCTTCCTGGGTGAGACATGCCAGTTTCCTGATCCCTGCCTGGATGCCCAGCTCTGCCAGAATGGGGGCAGCTGCCAAGCCCTGCTTCCCGCCCTCCCAGGCTCCCCCAGCCTTCCCTCTCCCTTGGCCCCCAGCTTCTCCTGCACCTGCCCCTCTGGCTTCACTGGCCAGATGTGCCAGGCCCGGCTCAAGGACCCCTGTTCTTCCTTCTGTTCCAAAATGGGCCGCTGCCACATCCAGGCCTCAGGCCACCCACAGTGCTCCTGCCTGCCTGGATGGACAGGTGAGCACTGCAGGGTTGGGGGAGAGGGGATAGGCAGGAGCAGGGGGCTGGGAAAGACAGAACTGGAGTCTGAGCGACAGGGATCCCTTCTGAGGACAGAGCCTGTGAGAATCAAGAAGCCGACTCTTGCTGACCATTTACCGGAGACTGACATTCTCCAGCCCGGCCATACCAATGGTTAAAATGCTGCAGTATTTCCAAACCCGTCAGTGAATGGCTACTGCCATAGGCCCCCTTAGTGCCCCACGCTGGTCCCTTTCCAGGCCCCTCCACCCAGCAGCTAGAGGGTTAACCCTTAGCACAAGGTGGTGGGCATCTGAATGGCCTCTATTACTGAGAACCGGGAGCCCATAATAGCACCTGGAAAGACGCACTGGTGGGAGGGGTAACGAGGGTGGAAAGGATCTGACCCAGAGAGAGGAATGGGTGTCAGTCCTGGGAAGAGGGGTGCAGCCCTGGGGCAAGGGTGCGGGACCCTGCGGGGGCAGGGTGTGCTAGCCTGAGGAAACGGTCAGGGGTGCGGAACAGCGGAGAGCCCCTGGAGTGGAAGGCTCCTCTGACCCACCAGGATGGAGCGGACTGGACGGGGCAGTGGAGGCCACAGGGGCGGGAAAGTGCGCTGTGAGTGGCGGACTAGAAACAAGGCTTCTCAAATTTGGCGACGCACAGCCATCACCTGGAAAGCCCTGAACATCCCAGAGAGGCTGATGTAGTGGGTCTGGGGTGGGCCCAGGCATGGCGATGTTTTAACTGCCCGGGTAATCCTGAGGACTCGGCAGCGAGAGAGCAGGCTGTGTGACAAGGATCATCGGTGGCAGCTTGCCAGACCCAGTGCTCCGAGCAGGGACTCTGGGCAGCTCTTTCCCAGGCCCAGCGGCAGCCCCACCACTGCAGAGGCGTGTGCCCTCGCACTAGCTCTCCATGGCCTTGGTTGTCAGCTGACGTCCACGCTGAGGACAGGGGGCGATGCTCGGGAGGTGCCGACTCAGCTCAGTGTCAGCCGCCACCTCGGCCACGGCCCTTGTGCCAACGGCTGAGAGGGGCGTCTCCTCGTCATCCGGAATGCTGCACCCACCTAAAGATTAGGGAATCCAGAAGAGGCAGGCCAGACAACTGGCCAAGGGCACACAGCCACTTTCGGCCCAGCAAAGTGCTAAGTCTCCTGCCTGCGGGGGCGGGGGGCGGGGCGGGCAGGGGGTGGTTCTCACCTCCCCACCAAGGAAAGGTCACCACAGGAAGGACCAAGATTTTCTCAGGCAGGGCCAATCGGCCATAGTCCCACCAACAGCTACATGTCCTATTTTCCAGAATGGCCAAACTGAGGCACGGGGTGGTGGAGCAGGGCAAAGCGGGTGTGGGAGGAAAGGGAAGGAAACGTGAAAATCAGCCACAGAGACAACCCAGGTGGGGAGCTGGGTTCCCTCGGATGAGCTGGGACTTGTGCAGTGCCACCAACAGCCCCCTCTGTCCTCTGCCTCAGGTGAGCAGTGCCAGCTTCAGGACTTCTGCTCGGCCAACCCCTGCATCAATGGAGGGGTGTGTCTGGCCACACACCCCCAGATCCAGTGCCTCTGCCCACCCGGCTTCGAGGGCCATGCCTGCGAACATGATATCAACGAGTGTTTCCTGGACCCCGGACCCTGCCCCAAGGGCACTTCCTGCCATAACACCCTGGGATCTTTCTGGTGTCTCTGCCCCACTGGGCAGGAGGGTCCACACTGTGACCTTCAGCCAGGACCCTGCCCCCCTAGTGGCTGTTCCAATGGGGGCACCTGTCAGCTGGTTCCCGGGAGAGACTCTACCTTCCATCTCTGCCTCTGCCCCCAAGGTGTGTCCTCACCTGCAGCCCCTCCCCCTGGGCAGGGAGGTCCCCTTCCCTCAGCTAATCTCATGACCCTGTCAGGTTTCACAGGCCCAGGCTGTGAGGTGAATCCAGATGACTGTGCTGGCCACCAGTGTCAGAATGGGGGCACCTGCCAGGATGGGCTGAGCACCTATGCCTGCCTCTGCCCAGAGGCCTGGACAGGTGAGTCGTGTAAGCCAAGTCCATGCACCTGCGGCCCAGATGGTCCTCCCCTGGCCTCTCCTCCTCACAGGGCTCCTAGCTCCAGCTTTTGTCCCCTCCCCACCCCGCCCCCCGCAGGCTGGGATTGCTCTGAAGATGTGGACGAATGTGAGGCTCAGGGCCTTCCTCGCTGCAGAAACGGGGGAACCTGCCAGAACTCGGCTGGCAGCTTCCACTGCGTGTGTGTGAGCGGCTGGGGGGGCGCAGGTTGCGAAGAGAACCTAGATGACTGCCTTGCTGCCACCTGTGCCCCAGGATCCACCTGCATTGACCGCGTGGGCTCCTTCTCCTGCCTCTGCCCACCTGGCCGCACAGGTGTGACAGCGGGCGCGGGGAGGTGGCGGTAGAGATGGCAAGTGAGAGAGGCACCAGGAGGGCGGCTGGGGCTTCAAGCGGCCCGAGAGAGCCTCACGGCCACCCTGCCCTCCAGGACTCCTGTGCCACATGGAGGACATGTGCCTGAGCCAGCCATGCCACGGGGAAGCCCAGTGCAGCACCAACCCCCTGACGGGCTCCACACTCTGCCTGTGTCAGCCTGGCTACTCAGGGCCCACCTGCCACCAGGACCTGGACGAGTGTCAGATGGGTGGGTCACCCCCGCCCGCATCAGAGCCTCTCCAAGCCCCCAGGCAGCCTCTGCAAATTGTTTTTCAAATGAAATATATAATCATCTCTTTTTTCCTGGTTTGGTCCAGATTTGGCATCCCTTCCCTACACAGTCTTCTCACCAATGCTCAGCCCTCCAGGCCCCTTTTAGTCCTTCTCCATCTTAAAGACACCGGCTCTTTCTCTGATTTGCTCTCATCTGCCACAAACAGGCCCTCACGCCTTCCCTGGCAGTCCGGCTTCCTTGCCCTTCCACGCCGGGCCCCCGCGGACTCCTGACTCTTCTCTCCTCCCAGCCCAGCAAGGCCCCAGTCCCTGTGAACACGGCGGCTCTTGCCTCAACACCCCTGGTTCCTTTGACTGCCTCTGCCCACCTGGCTACACGGGCTCCCGCTGCGAGGCTGATCACAATGAGTGCCTGTCCCAGCCCTGCCACCCCGGCAGCACCTGCCTGGACCTGCTTGCCACCTTCCACTGTCTCTGCCCGCCAGGTACCAGATGCATGGGGCCTTGGGTAGAGGATCAGGGGGCTAACCCTGAACACCCCAGGCATGACCCCTGCAGAACACAAATGGCCCCAGGCCAGTTGGGGGGACAGTTACAAAAGAATGCTTCTCATCTCCCCACCCCAGATAAAAACTCGGGGAAACCCGCGGCTCCTAGGAGAAGGCCTGCCACAGATGATAGTGAGCTTGTGCACTGCTCAAGTCTGGGGGTGAGGGGGAGAGCATTCATTTCATAGTCATTATAAAGTGCACAGCCTGGTCCGCTGTACATGGAAGCCAGTCAAGGGAGAGCAGAACACCAGCCTCTGCTCATGCCAACTCAGAATGTTCCTCCCAATCACAGAAAAACTCTCCCCTGTAGAGATCGAGTAAACCCTTAAAATCCCAAAGGGCCTGTGTGCTTGGATTTGGTACAACAGAAAAAAAAAAAAAGTGCCACAAGGCTATACCTACCTCCAAGCTAGCTCTAAGGGGGAGAAAAGTCTCCCCAGGGACATAGAGACAGAGCTAATACCAGGAAGCTGAATGAAACCAGAAAAATACTAGCTTATTTTGTGCCAGGTACCACCTGAGCATCTGACCTGCCTTTTGTCATCTTTGCAACAATCCTATGAGGTCAGCATTGTTGCTGTGCCCATTTTACAAATGAAGAAACTGAGGCACGGAGAGGTTAAGGGAGTTGTCCAGCTGGTTAGTGGCAGGGCCGTGATTCAAACCCAGGGCTTCCATAGATTTAACCACTACACGAAACAGCCTTTCTCAACTGAGCAGCATCCAAGGTCAAAAGCAGAGAAAACGGTCCAGCAATCCAAGGGACAGGGATAGATACTAAGGAACTTCAGAAGCAGACTCCCAAGGCAAGAAATGGGAGGCAGCTGAGGTCTGGAAGCTGATCCAGTTTCAGTTCAGGGTGAGACTGTGGATACCAGGACAAACCCGAAGAAACGGGACAAATATGGGACCAAAAACTCCCCAAATGCCCTTCAAATACCCCCCCTTGGGGATTCCTGGTCTCCCTGGCACAGAGGCCTGCTCAGGTAGAACAAGAGGCTTGACTCACCTCCAAGCAGATGCCCATTTGTCTCATTTGTACCTTGAGGACCTCCAGGCTCATGAGCCCAGCCGGGTGAGCCCACCTTCTATGCGGAGAATGGCCCCAAAAGGTACTTCCTTGCTGCCCCCCACAGGTCCCAGCAGGGGCCCTGGTCCCTGAGCTTTCACAGCTGAAGGGAGCAGGGCTACACACAGCAGAGCAGCAGGACCCCAGGCTCATCTCCCCAACCGGCAGGCACAGGGCACCCTGGGAGGGGCTGCCTGATGGGGGCACGTGCTCTTTCTAGAACCCCGGCCTCCGGGGCAGAAGGGGTGAGCAGCCAGCGCAGGCGGGACTGACCTGGCTGAGCCTCAGCCCGCACCACACCCCCACGTCCTCAGGCTTGGAAGGGCAGCTGTGTGAGGTGGAGACGGATGAGTGTGCCTCGGCTCCGTGCCTGAACCAGGCGGACTGCCACGACCTGCTCAACGGCTTCCGGTGTGAGTGCCTGCCCGGTGAGTGCAGAGCCCACTCCAGCCCCCGGCCTCACCCCTGTCCCACAGTCAGGCCCCGGGATCACCCCAAGCCTCTTGAAGCTCACTCTGGCCTGGCCAAGGAGGCCCCCATTTCTCCAACTCCTCTGCTCCCCAAACTCTCTTTTACATTCCCCAAATCTTCCCTGGGTACTCACCCACCTTCATCTCTGTCCTGCCAAATTGCCCAAACCACCCTTTCTAGCCCTCCTCCAGAGTCTTCTGTGTGCCCTCCCTGCTCCTGGGGATCCAGGGCTGGTCTTGGCGCCGCTCACCCTGGACCCGGGGAACACTGCCCCAGGCCTTCCTTCTCCAGCTTCCCTGGACCCCTCTGTTCCTTGCTCTGATGATAACGAATGTTTATTGACTACTCCAGGCCGGGCCCTTGGCTGTGTACTTTTCAGGCATTCCCTGGTATAATCCTTTCAATGACACCATGAGGTCGGTTCCATTATTCCCCTTTTACAGAGGACGAAACTGGAACCTAGAGAGCTCGAGTAGCTTGCCCAAATTCACACAGCTGGCAGGGGGCTGAGCATCATCCTCCTGTCATCTCCACCTGCCCCAGGTGTCTTCTCTGGGAAGCCCTCCAGGTTCACCTTTCCTGGTGAGGGGAAGGGCCAGGACTTACATTTATGCTCTGGATACAATGTGTTTTCAGCATTGACACAAATACCCAGTTATGCCTTATTTATATGAAGAACAAAGTCACCAAGTTACTCTCTGTTATGTTCTGAAACTCAAATCACTATTTGAGAAGCCCCCAAACTGGTGCCTCATTACATAATGAAACATGTAGATGAACCCCCAAACCAAGCTATTGGAAACAAGATTCTCTCCATTACAATTTGTAGCGATGTTATTTCTATATATGTAAAGAGAAGACTAAAGATCAGTATTAACTCTAAATTTCTTGTTTAAATCCATGAAATCATACCTGTACAGCTCAGTCAGAAATATCTGTGACAAACTACCTAATAAATCTAGAGAAAGTCACTAAAAAGAAAAGAAGGTAAGAAGGGAGGGAGGGAGCAAGGAAGGAAGGAAGGAAGGAAAGAGAAGACAACCTTTGCCATCTCTCCGCACTCACTCCTGGCCCCACCAGGATTCACTGGCTCGCAGTGTGAGGAGGACATCAATGAGTGTGAGAGCTCTCCCTGTGCCAATGGGGGTCAGTGCCAGGACCAGCCCGGATCCTTCCATTGCGAGTGTCTCCCAGGTGAAGCAGGGCTCAAACGCTGGAGGGGAGAGTGGGGGCAAAGGGCAGACTTCCGGGCAGGTCCCTGATCCTCCTGCTGTGCCATAGGCTTTGAAGGCCCGCGCTGTCAGGTGGAGGTGGACGAGTGCCTGAGTGGCCCATGCCCCGCTGAAGCCAGCTGCCTGGATCTCCCCGGAGCCTTCTTTTGCCTCTGCCCTTCTGGCTTCACAGGTCAGCAGGGGAGGCGATAGAAGGGACTGGCCGGAGAGTTGAGCCCATCTGGGGTGGGGCAGAGGTCACTGCTGGGTATTCGAGGGTTGGGATGTGAGAAGAGAAGGAGACTGGAACCCCCTGGAGTTATTCCATGGACAACCTGCACACCCACACAAGCTTGGGCTGACTGCAGATATTATCTGTAGGGCCCACACCGAGCCCGACATGAATGGTGTGATTAGGGTTCAACAGGAAGCCATTCATTTGCTTATTTAGCAGGAACCTATTGTCTCCTCTGCCAGACACAGACACAAGTGGAATAAGAGAGCTGCTCTCCTCAACTGGCTTTAAATCCAGTGTAGAGAGACCAAGAAGTCTCTTGTCGGTTATGGTCCAAAGGTGCTCTGGGAGAGGACTGCATAGGATTCTATAGGAGCACAGAGACCAGCCAACCAGACTAGAGATGAGAAGGCTTCATGGAGGAGGTGATGGCTGAGCTGAGTCTTGAAGAATGAGTAGGAGTTTGTCATGATAGAGTGATTGCATGTTTTAGCTGCAGGTGAAAAGCACACCCTACTTAAGGAGCCACAGGACATCCTGAGCTTAGGGTGCAACAGAGCAAACCTGAGGAGCACAGCAGTAACAGGGAAATCGTGTCATACAAGGCCCTGTGTGTCACCCTGAGGAAGTTAGACTGTACCCTGAGGCAACAGGGAGCCACTGAAGGACAGCTTCATGGGGAGTGAGCAAGTTATACGTAAGAAGTGGCTTTGGCCCCATCGAGGACATGGAGGGACTCTGTTTTCTCTCTGACCCATCTCCCCACCGCAGGTCATCTCTGTGAGGTTCCCCTGTGTGCCCCCAACCTGTGCCAGCCCAAGCAAAAGTGCTATGATCAGGAGGACAAGGCCCCCTGCCTCTGCCCCGATGGGAGCCCCGGCTGTGCCCCCATTGAGGACAACTGCACCTGCCACCATGGGCTCTGTCACAGGTAACCCTCCAGGCCTCCCCACTCGCACCGGCCTCCGGTCCTCCTCAGCGAGGGCAGGAGAAGACAGCCGTGAGCCACCAGCCTGTGGGAAATGACCAAGAGGGAAGAGGAAGGAGATGGCAAAGTGCTGAGCTCACCGCCAATGTGAGGGCGCGACTAGTGAGTGCAGTCCCGTGGGGGCAGAGTTCATAAATCACAGGTGAAACCGAGGGCTAGGGGGTCAGAGCAGAAAGAAAAGCATTAGATCCCAGGGCCAATTCATCATACATTAGACAAATATTGAGCATCTACTATGTGTGGATACTTTTCCAGGCACTGGGGGAACTGTACAGAACAAAAGAGACAAAATGTCTGTTTTTGTTTTTGTTTTTTAAGATTTTTATTTATTTATTTGACAGAGAGAGAGCACAAGCTGGGGAGTGGCAGAGGGAACGGCAGAGGGAGAGGGAGAAGCAGGCTCCCCACTGAGCAGGGAGCCCAACACAGGTGGAGCCCAACTCGGGTCTCAATCCCAGGACCCTGGGATCGTGACCAGAGCTGAAGGCTTAACCAACTAAGCCACCCAGGCGCCCGGCATGTCTGTTCTCATGGAGATTTCATTCTAATGAGGAAAGACAGACAATAAACAGTTATAGGAGAAACATATATACATATTCTTACATATAGTATGGAAGAGGGACAATGCTGAGAGCAGAGCCACTGAAGAAAGGGGCCAGAGTCTCAGGACCAAAAAAAGAGGTCCTAGGGGTCTGACCATCGGTGAGGGGAGGTGAAGAGAAAAACACCAGAAGAAGAAAAAACCCTCCCCTTTCTCTTCATGACCAGATCCTCATGTGTGTGTGATGTGGGCTGGACAGGACCAGAATGTGAAGCAGAGCTGGGGGGCTGCATCTCCATCCCCTGTGCCCATGGGGGGACCTGCCACCCCCAGCCCTCTGGCTACAACTGTACCTGCCCCCCAGGCTACACAGGTGAGGCTCTCCCTAAGCCACAGACATTCTGGGCTGGCCACCCTCTAATCAAGGGCAAGGCCAGTAGAGACATGTGTCCAAGGACTCTGGGTATGGGTCACCACCAAGGAGAATGGGGCATGAGCTGCAGGGAGGGAACACAGGTGATGTGCGGGAGACAGTAAGAAAAGACAAAAGATTGGATGGGAGAAAATAGGGATGGGGATGAGGAAAAGGAAGGGGGAGGGAAGCAGAGGAAGACGAGAGAGAAGAGGATTCCCTTTCTCAGACCCCACTCATTTCCCTCAGGGCCTACCTGCAGTGAGGAGGTGACAGCTTGTCACTCAGGGCCCTGTCTCAACGGTGGCTCCTGTAGCCCCAGGCCTGGGGGCTATTCCTGCACCTGCCCTCTGAGCCACACTGGGCCCCGCTGCCAGACCAGCACTGACCACTGTGCCTCTGGTGAGTGCCCACCGTGTCCTCCAGCTGGGCCACAGGAGGATCGAGGAACTGGTCGGGGTGTGTTTGTGCCGTAGGAAAACAAATTAATTGGGCACCATGATGGGGTGCTGTTTTGATGGGGGCAGCAGGGGGGTGCGTATGTCCTGTGCGTGGTGTGACTAAGGCCACAGGCCAGGTTACAGGCAAGGAACCCCACCCCTCACAGCCTCCTCTCTCCAGCCCCGTGCCTCAACGGGGGTACCTGTGTGAACAGGCCTGGCACCTCGTCCTGCCTCTGTGCTGCGGGTTTCCAGGGCCCACGCTGTGAGGAAAGGACCCGACCCAGCTGTGCAGACAAGTGAGCAAAGACCCCAAGAGGAAGGGAGGGGGCCCCTCAGCCTCCCCACCCTTCCTCTCCATCTCCTCTGCGGCTCCAGGCTGCCTCAAACTCTATACCCCACATCCTTTCACTCTGCCTCCCTTTCTAGTTCCCCATCTCACCACCACATCGCACACTCCCTCCCTTTTGATTGCCCGACTTCCTCCCACTGTGCCCTGTGTCGGTCCTGTTCCAGCCCCTGTAGGAACAGGGCAACCTGTCAAGATGGCCCTCAGGGTCCCCACTGCCTCTGCTCCCCTGGCTACACGGGAGGCAGCTGCCAGGTGAGGGGTGCTGAGCCAACTGTGCTGAGGCTGGAGGGCTCTGGTGGAAGGGTCTCCAGTTCTAAGACAGAGCAGGGAGCTGGGGAAAAGTATCCACAGGAAAGGGGGTTTGGAATCTGGGAGTGGAGGTCTAGCTTGAGGTTTGCATGGAATAGAAGGAATGAAAGGATCTCTGATGCCAGGGACTGCTCTGGGATGTGGGTATCAAAGGAAACCAGGGGCGGGGGCGGGGGGCTATCACCTGGCCCCAGACCATTCAGGAGAGAGTTTGAGAGGTGAGGATTTTGAGGAGCTAGCCGAAGACCATCTCTGGGCCTAAAAACATGATATTCCGTCCTGACTCATGCTCCCTCCCAAACCTCAGACTCTGATGGACTTATGTGCCCAGAAGCCCTGTCTACACAATTCCTACTGCCTCCAGACTGGGCCCTCGTTTCAGTGCCTTTGCCTCCAAGGATGGACCGGGCCTCTCTGCAACCTGCCACTGTCCTGTCAGCAGGCCGCTCTGAGCCAAGGTACTGACCCAAGGACCAACTGGGGAGCAGATAAAGAGAGAAAGGATGTCCCCCTCTACCTGATCCCTGAGGGTATCCACACACAACATTTGGCCAAAACAACCAAATGAAAGTCAAAGTAACACAGACCAAACACTATGACTGATTCTACAGCCTCACACGCGGGGCAACTTAACACAACTCAACTTCTATCACCATGCTCAACACAACTCAAGCAACACCAACCAGTCCAGCCAACAAGACTCCAGGTTAACACAACTACTGGGACACAACTCATTGTGAAGCAACTCAACTCTGTCATTACCACCATAATGCATCTAGAGTAGATCACACTTAACCCAACTGCACTCAACTCAACTGCTGCTCCCCACTCACTTGGATATGTCAACCCCCTTGTAAAAGAATATGCCCCTTATTCATATAAGGCTTAATAGGAGCAGAACTCAGGAAGGAGCCTCCTGTGGGGTTAGGGAATGGGAATCCCAGTGAGAAAGCATCAGGGGATGCAAATTCAGGGGACAGACTTGAGCCATTAGTTAACCGCCCCCCTCTGAAGTTTCCTTTGAGTTCTTGCTTGCTTGAGACTTGTTTTAAACCAAGAATACAGTTGCTTATAATGCTCTAAAAAGCTTAACAAGAGGTATTTCTCTCCATTCTGGCAGAACAGGCAGGAGGGGGATCTTGATGTTATAACCTCTTCAGCACCAGAAGTTACTGACTCCTGTTCCAAGTGGCCTCCACCCACCCCAGGAATATTAGTGATCCCCAAGAGCCTCTCTGCTCCGTGTCTGGGGCCCCCAAGAACCTTTCCACCCCACTTAGCTGTGCCCGTCCCTGTCTGCCTCTCTCCTCAGGTACAGAAGTTTCTTCCCTGTGCCAGAATGGAGGCGTCTGCATCGACAGTGGCTCCTCGTATTTCTGCCGCTGCCCTCCTGGATTCCAAGGCGGTGTATGCCAGGACAGAGTGAACCCGTGTGAGTCCAGGCCCTGCCAGCACGGGGCCACCTGCATAGCCCAGCCCAGTGGGTATCTCTGCCAGGTGAGCAGGTCTAGAAAAGAGCGGGGAGGGGAGACAAGGGTGGGCTGCACAGGGCGGGGGTGGGGGGGCCGCACTAGCACAGTGCCACTGGGCGGGGCACTGATGGATTCACCCCCTTTCCTTTCTTTACCCCACATATCCAGCCCACCGCCAAGTCCTGTCCTTTTGCCTCCTAAATCTTTCTCAACTCTGTCCTTCCTCCTTCACCCTTTGTCCCATTGCCTGTGGGGCATAATCTGTGCAGGCCTGGAGCACCCTGTCCCTGCCCCCAAACTTGTCTGCCTGGAGGCTCAGCCTTTACTCCACCACCAGGGTGCTCTGTTGAAAATGTTAAGCTGACCTGTCACTCCCCTGCTTAAAACCCTTCAGTGGCTGCCCACCTCTTTGACAGTGAAGTCCAAGGCCCGAGTGACCCAGCCTGGCCTGACCCTCGGGTCTTATCTCGCCCCACCCCCACCCTCCTACTCTCTGCTCCAGCAGCGGCTGGCTTCCCTACACACCCCGTTTACCGGCTCTTCCGTGCCCTTCCTCACCCCTCTTCCACTGGATGGTGCCCAAGAGGCACCTTGCTCAGGAAAATGCCCCTAACTTCTCTCCAGCCTGGGCTTGGGCCTCTCTTTGGTGGTTCCAGTCACTGAGCAGTAGAGGCAAAGCTGGGATTCAAGTCTGAGCAGCCTGATGCCTGATGCCAACTTTGGGGGCGCCTGAGTGACTCAGTCGGCATCTGACTCTTGATTTCAGCACAGGTCATAATCTCAGGGTCATGAGATCGAGCCCTGCATCAGGCTCCAGGCTGGACATGGAACCTGCTTAAGATTCTCTCCCTCTCCCTGTGTGTGTGTGTGTGCGCGCGCGCGCGTGTGTGTGTCTCTCTCTCAAAAAAAAAAAAAAAAAAAAAGAACCCTGACTTTGAATAAAAGGCATGATGTGGATCCCCTAACCATTCTCTTTAATTTTTTTATTTTTTAACTTTTTGTTATGAACATTTTCAAACATACACAAAAGCAGTGTACTAATTAATAGTGAACACCCCTGCACCCATGACTCAGCTTTACCTCCCTTTTCCTGAGACTCCTTCCCTCAGACATCCCCAAAACACCCCGTTCACCTGCTTCTCCCAGCCCTCTGGCCACTCCCCGGATTCTCTGTAATCCCCTCTTTCTCCTCCTTTCCGAAGCCTTGCTGGCACTGTGTTCTTACATGCTCTCCTTGCTCTTGCAACAGCTCAGCCCATGGTACAGAACTTCATCAGTGACCCCTCTCCCACTGGCAGAATGGCATGAAACAATCCCCAAATGCTTCAGGGCACTGGTTAGGACATCACAGACTTGCACTGAATCCCAGCTCAGCCACCAGCTTGTGCAAGTCACTCAGTATTTCCAGGAATAGTTTGCCTTTTCTGTAAAGTGAGAATCAAATGAGATAACACACATGCAGGGTTTGGGGGAGAGTTTTATGAGGTTATGTATAAAAATCATGTAATAAATGCTAGCTAGTCTCTCTTTTCTGGTTGAATGAGAACTTCACGGAAGTGGGGAGGAGCTCTAATTCTCTTCATATTCCTAGTGCCTAAAACAGTACCTGGCACAAAGTAAGCATTCAGTAAATGCTGACAAATTAATCAATAAAGGGGTGCCTGGGTGGCTCAGTCGTTAAGCGTCTGCCTTCGGCTCAGGTCATGATCCCAGGGTTCTGGGTTCGAGCCCCACATCGGGCTCCCCGCTCAGGCGGGAAGCCTGCTTCTCCCTCCCCCACTCCCCTGCCCCTGCTTGTGTTCCCTCTCTGGCTGTTTTTCTCTGTCAAATAAATAAATAAAATCTTTAAAAAAAATTAATCAATAAAGCATGACAGAGCCTGGTGGAGGTGTGGCTGGGGGAGGGAGGTCTTACCAAAAATGGAGCTATTGTTTAGTGGCAATGCGCCATAAGATGCTTTGGGACTGCTGGAGGGGCTAAGTTGCACACCATTGAACGACTGTGTATTATGGAGTTGAGACAGAAGGGTTAGGCTACACAGGGCTGTGATGGATGGTGAGTTGAATGATGCTTTGAACTGGAAGGTGGGAGAGAGCTGGGCAGACGATCTTGAGCTGGGTCCCCTGTAGTGTTGGGATGGGCTGGATAACTGGTTCCCTGTCTGACCCTCTTTGCCCACAGTGTGCCCCAGGCTACAGTGGACAGAATTGCTTGAAGGAATCCAATGCTTGTCAATCCCAGCCCTGTCACAACCATGGGACCTGCACCCCCAAACCTGGAGGCTTCTCCTGCACCTGCCCTCCAGGCTTTGTGGGCCTGCGCTGTGAGGGGGACGTAGACGAGTGTCTGGACCGGCCCTGCCACCCCACAGGCACGGCAGCCTGTCACTCTCTGGCCAATGCCTTCTACTGCCGGTGTCTGCCTGGATACACGGGTGAGGCCTGGGAGGGTGTGTGTAGGCCCCTCTGTGGCACAACCGGGCTCACAATCCCCACCCACAAGGCAACCTAGTCATTGCGTCCATCCCCCTGCCTCCACACCCCACCCCAGAGAATAAGCCCCAGGATCCCTCTGCCTGCGCAGGTAGAGTGCTGGGTCAATTCCCAGGAATGAGCTAGGAAGGAGGCAGTGACCGAAGCAGGGTGTGACATCTAATCCCACCCCACCACAGGCCAGTGGTGTGAAGTGGAGACAGACCCCTGCCAGAGCCAGCCCTGCTCCCATGGGGGGTCCTGTGAGACTACAGCGGGACCACCCCTGGGTTTCACCTGTCACTGCCCCCAGGTGAGTGACTGCAAAGCTGTCTTCTCTGTTGCCCCCAGCACTGATGCAAGGTGAGAATGCCTGAGCTGGGATCCTAGAGGGGAATTCTTGGCGAAAGCTAGCCCGTGCTATGGGGTGAGTGACTCAGAAGCAGTTCAGGGGGAAAGGCAGGACCAGGTGGTAGCATGAATGGAATTTTCAGAAATCATGGGCACTGCCTAAGAGAAGGCCCCAAAGTCAAGCTGGGTGAGACCTTGGGTAAGTTCTTTTACCTCTCTCTCTCTCTCTCTCTCTCTCTCTGTGTGTGTTTATGGACCTCAGATGCATGAAATCCGGTTAATCATAAGCCTTGGTTCATGATACACTAACATCATTGGTTTGTGCACGGCCTTCTTTGTATTTTTCTTATAACGTAACACCCATAAACCTAACCTAAGAATTACAGTAGCAACGATAACTCACATGTACTTATGTCTTCCTCTATCCTGTTCCCCGTCCAGAGAAAGAGAAAGTATATAATCCTAAGTCCAAAGATGAAGATAATTTAATTACTACCACTCTCTAAGTGCTTAGTCTCCTAGGTTGTTGCCACAGCTGTGGTTCATCCATTTTCATCACTGTGTAGTATGTCATTGTGTGAAAATACCATGGACCATGGTTTCAACATCTATAAAATGATGAACTTGAAGTTCTCTGAGGCCCCTTCCAGATATGAGACTGTAGAACCCTCTGAATTATCTTAACCCAAGAGTTTGCTTGGGAGGGGGTAGAAAGAATAATACAAGGGCCTCCCCCAATCTCTCTCTCCTCTCCACAGGGTTTTGAGGGCCCCACCTGCAGCCACAGAGCTCCCTCCTGCGGCCTCCATCACTGCCACCATGGTGGCCTGTGTCTGCCCTCCCGCAAGCCTGGCTTCCCACCCCACTGTGCCTGCCTCAATGGCTACGGGGGCCCTGACTGCCTGACCCCACCAGCTCCTCGTGGCTGTGGCCCTCCTTCTCCATGCCTACACAATGGCAGTTGCTCAGAGACCCCGGGGCTGGGGGCCCCAGGCTTCCGATGCTCCTGCCCTCCCAGCTCTCCAGGGCCCCGGTGTCAGAGGCCCGGAGCAAAGGGATGCGAAGGCAGAGGTGGAGATGGGGCCTGTGACGCTGGCTGCAGCGGCCCTGGAGGAAATTGGGATGGGGGAGACTGCTCCCTGGGGGTCCCGGACCCCTGGAAGGGCTGCCCCTCCCACTCCCGGTGTTGGCTTCTCTTCCGGGATGGGCAGTGCCACCCGCAGTGCGACTCTGCAGAGTGTTTGTTTGATGGCTACGACTGTGAGACTCCTCTGGCCTGCACGTGAGCCTGAAACCCTGACTTGGGGGTTGGGGTGGGGAGGGCAGGGTGAGGCAGGAGGAAGGACACAGATGCCTCTGGGGGGGGTTGCAGTGTGACCACAGCCTCAGGCTCCGGGGAGTTTCCACCCTAATAACTGTTGCTAAGTAGGGGTAGAAGACACTAGGCTCCAGCCCAGGGGAGGAGGGCAGCATCAATATTTAGCATGGGGACCGGGAAGGAGGGCACTGCCTCTGTCTGGGCTCCTCTCTAAGAGCTGTGGGAGCTCTGGCCTCAGGCCTCTTTCTCTATGCCCCGTTGCCATGGAGGATCTCCCCTAGCAACCAGCACCCCTGAGGGAAAAGGGCCTTGGACTCTCCTTCAGGGAGACAGGACAGCTTGGGATGGTAGGGAGAGGGTAAGTCTTAGGAGACAAGGGCATCACAGACATTAGAGGGTCTGGGCTACCTGCCATCCAGGGCCTGACCAAGCCCACTGCTCCGGAGCTCTCCCCACTTAGCAACCAGTGCCCTAGAGGCAGTAGAATATCAGGCATCTCTCTGGAATGAAGAAGGGGGTCCGGTTTCTTTGGGGATCCTGAGTCCCCCTCTCCTCACCCCACAGTCCAGCCTATGACCAGTACTGCCACGATCACTTCCACAACGGGCACTGCGAGAAAGGCTGCAACACTGCCGAATGTGGCTGGGATGGGGGTGACTGCAGGCCTACAGATGGGGATTCAGAATGGGGGCCCTCCCTGGCCCTGCTGGTGGTGCTGAGCCCCCCAGCCCTGGACCAGCAGCTTCTGGCCCTGGCCCGGGTGCTATCCCTGACTCTGAGAGTGGGGCTCTGGGTAAGGAAGGATAGTGATGGCAAGGACATGGTGTACCCCTATCCTGGGGCCCAGGCCGAAGAGGAGCTAGGAGGAGCCCCGGACCCCTCACATCAGGAGAGAGCAACCCCTCACACACAGCCTGTGGGCAAGGAGACGGACTCTCTCAGCACTGGGTAAGAAGGCCGGGCAGGGGGATGCAGCAGACACCGGTTTTTTGATGGGTGGAGGGAAGGGAACGAGGGACCAACACAGGGGTCTCTGCGGCGCCTCCCCCACAGGTTTGTGGTGGTGATGGGTGTGGATTTGTCCCGCTGTGGCCCTGACCACCCTGCATCCCGCTGTCCCTGGGATCCTGGGCTCCTGCTCCGCTTCCTGGCCGCCATGGCAGCAGTGGGGGCCCTGGAGCACCTGCTGCCGGGACCCCTGCTGGCTGCCCATCCTCGTGCTGGCACCGGTAGGTGACCCCCCTCATCTCCCCTGACCTTGCTCCCAGACCCACTTCCATGCCAGCAAATAGCAATGGAAGCCAAATGACACAGGATTGCAGGGACCCCAAATGTTCTGTGTGGAGACTGACCCTCGTGAACCTCTCATTCTCTAAGTGGATCTCCTCATGGCCCATTTGCTCTTCAATCTCCTTCCTCATTTCCCTACGTATTTTATCCTAACCTTTATCATCTGGTCTATCCTCTCTACTAAATCCAATCATCCCTGTCAAACAGCTCATGGTACACGAAAGAATCATAACCCATATAGCACTTACTACGTGCCAGGCCTTGCTCTAAGGGCTTTACAGTATCAACTCATTTAATCCTCCCAACAATGCCATGTGGCAGGTACTATTATGATTCCCACTTTGCAGATGAGGAAACTGATGAAAGAAGTTACTGCACTTGCCCAAAGGTCTCAAGAGTAGTGCCCAGCCTCACGAGAAATGGTCTCTTTTTGTGACTGTGTCTCCCGCCAGCACCACCCACCAACCAGCTTCCCTGGCCTGTGCTGTGCTCACCAGTGGCCGGGGTGCTTCTCCTGGCCCTTGGGGCTCTTCTCGTCCTTCAGCTCATCCGGAGGCGGCGCCGAGAGCATGGGGCCCTCTGGCTGCCCCCTGGGTTCATTAGAAGGCCTCGAACTCAGCCGGCTCCCCGCAGACGCCGGCCTCCCCTGGGTGAAGACAGCATTGGCCTCAAGTAAGAGTGAGGAGGAAAGGGGCCCAGGGAGGGGACTCTTTCCTGTGGAGATATTTATGATCAGAAGCTGATGACAGAGGAAGGGGAGAGGGGGAGGAAGGCTGCTGGAAATCCTGGGGACCCTGAAGGTCCTCTACCCAAACACCCCCTTCCAGGGCACTGAAGCCAGACGCAGAAGTTGATGAGGATGGAGTTGTGATGTGCTCAGGCCCCGAGGAAGGAGAGGAGGTGGGCCAGGTGAAAGCACTGGGGCAGGAATGGTCCTTAGGTAATGGCGGAGTTGAAGGGACGAGTCACCCTTCCTTCACTGATCTTTGTTCTGATCCTAAGGCTGAAGAAATGGCCTCACCCTCCAAGTGCCCGCTCTGGCCTCTGAGCGGTGACTGTCAGGAGCTCCCCCAGGCAGCCATGCTGACCCCTCCCCAGGAATCGGAGATGGATGTCCCTGACGTGGACACCCGTGGACCTGGTATGTGAGCCAACCCAGACCAAGAAAAGGAAAACTCCCTTTTGACTCTTTTAGAATCAGAAAGCCTTTTGATATTAGAACTGAGAAAATTAATGTTAGAGTTAGTGCCTTAGAATAGTGATTCTTAAAGTATGGTCCCGGGACAGAAGAATCAGCATCACCAGGGAAATTGTTAGAAACACAAATTGTCAGGCTCCACTCCAGAACTACTGACTCAGAAATTTGAGACACTGGAGAATGTGTGTTTTAACCAGCCCTCCAGGTAAATCTGATCCAGACTCAAGTTTGAGAACCACTGCTTTAGAATGTCTAAGAATTAAGGCCCACTGGCTCCTTTTACAGATGATGAAACTGAAGCACAGAGAAAAGTAAAAAAGTCATTTGACGAAAGCCACACAAAATCAAGAGCCAGAGCTGGGCTTCCTGACACCTCAGGCTATGATTCTCCCTGAACCTCTATGTTCTCCTCCTCTCCCAGTTATGTCCTTTTGACTGACTTGTCTCCCATTCCTCATGTCTCCCACCCACAGATGGGGTGACACCCCTGATGTCAGCAGTTTGCTGTGGGGGAGTGGAGTCCAGAACCTTCCAGGGAGCATGGTTGGGAAGCCCTGAGCCCTGGGAACCCCTGTTGGGTGGAGGGGCCTGTCCCCAGGCTCACACTGTGGGCACTGGGGAGACGCCCCTGCACTTGGCTGCCCGATTCTCGCGGCCAACCGCTGCCCGCCGCCTCCTTGCCGCTGGAGCCAACCCCAACCAGCCAGACCGAGCAGGGCGCACCCCTCTTCACACCGCTGTGGCTGCTGATGCTCGGGAGGTTTGCCAGGTCAGTGCACACGGGGGTCGCTAAAGGGAACAGGGGGCAAACTCCTAAGTAAAGCTAGGCAAAAGCAGCCCCTAGGGTTTGGCAGAGAGGAAGGTGATGTGAGATTGGGGATCTGAAAGAGAAACAACAAATGACCATATACGGATTTGGAGCTGATTAAGAGTGTGAGCTAGCAATCCAGGACATACCAGGGGTCACTGGCCCTCTCTGGACCCCCAGCTCCTACTCCGCAGCAGACAGACTGCAGTGGATGCACGGACAGAGGACGGGACCACAGCCCTGATGCTGGCCGCCAGGCTGGCGGTGGAGGACCTGGTTGAAGAACTGATCGCAGCCCAAGCAGATGTGGGGGCGAGAGATAAATGGGGTACGGATCTGGAGAGGTTGGTGTTGTGCTATGGAGAAGTGGCACAGATGGGGTGTGAAATAAGATGCAAAAAAAGGAAGCAGCAGAGGGACCAACTGGAGACTGGGGGATTCCCTCCCACCTAGCTGTCCGGGTGGGAAATCTGCGGGGCGATGTCAGTATGGAACTCAACAACATACACACACTGCCCTAGCCCACTGGAAACTAGGCTGAGGAAGGAGTGTCTGGGAGAAGGGAGAGAGGTCTAGTGGGGGGAGGTCTCCCGGTCCCACCGAGCCCAGAACAATGCCCCATTGTCCCTCCCGCGCGCCGGTGATGTGACGAGAAGCAAGGCTTCCTGCCGGCCGGCGGTCACCCAGGCAACGCTTCCGCCTTTGAGGTAACCCCGCGGGCCCAAATAAGTCCTTCCCCCAAAACCAGAATCCGTGGGAAACAGGAACCCAGGCGTCTGTTCCCCAGCCTCGGAGTAACAACCACCCACGTCGTCCCCTAGGAAAAACCGCGCTGCACTGGGCCGCCGCCGTGAACAACGCCCGGGCCGCCCGCTCCCTTCTCCAGGCCGGAGCCGATAAAGACGCCCAGGACGGCAGGGTTAGACCGGGAGCTGGTTGCCTAAAAACACAAAACAAAACAGGGCGTGGGAGAGGCGGAAAGCGCGGGAACGCCACCCAACCTGAAGGGGGAAAGGCCAGTGGCCAAGTGGGTGGAGCCCGGAAGAGTCACCCTGTGGGCGTGGCCCTCCCTGACCTCGCCCCCTGGCTGTTTCTTCCGGCATAGGAGCAGACGCCGCTGTTCCTCGCGGCCCGAGAAGGGGCGGTGGAGGTAGCCCAACTGCTGCTGGGCCTGGGAGCGGCCCGGGGACTGCGGGACCAGGCCGGGCTAGCGCCCGGGGACATCGCCCGCCAGCGCAACCACTGGGATCTGCTGACGCTGCTGGAGGGGGCGGGGTTACTGGAGGCGCGTCACAAAACCACGCCGGGCCGGGGGGCGGGCCCCTTACCCCGCTCGCGGACCGCGTCGGGAAGCTTGCCCCCGCGTGGGGGCGGGGCTCTGTCGCGCTGCCGGACAATGTCGGCCGGGGCCGGCCCGCGTGGGGGCGGAGCATGTCTGCAAGGCCAGACTTTGTCCGTAGAATGGGCCGCGCGTGGGGGCGGAGCCTACTCTCATTGCCAGAGTCTTTCGAAAGGAGGAGCGGGGGAAGGCCCGCCCCCCGGGGCCCGTAGGTTTTCTGCAGGCATGCGCGGGCCTCGGCCCAACCCAGCTTTAGTGCAAGGAAGATCCGGGGTCGCTTCCGGGAGCGGGGGTGTGGCCTCGGCTGATGACTGGCCCTGCGATTGGGTGACCCTGGGAGCCTGCGGCCCCACCTCCAACACTCCGATCCCGCCTCCCTGTCTTACGCCGTCCCCGGAGCGGGGATCCCCTCAAGTTGCTTGGGGTCCCCCGACTCACCAAGTAATACCTTTAAACGCGGGAGGCGAGGGTCAAAAATAGGACGCTACGTGACAGGGAGGGATTCTGAAAGTGGGCACCCATTATAGGACAGTCTGGAAAGACTCCAGATTTTAAGATCCTGGAGCCCCAAAAGTGAGGGGTCATGAGCATGCTGTCCCTCCCCAAATGAGTGTTTGCCCACTCCGTCTTCCACGTAGAGAAACTGCAGCCCTGGAAAAAGGATTTAGGGTGCTGGAATGACGAGGGCCCAGCCCTTCTCCCAGAAAATAAGGGTGAGAGACTACGAAGGGTGGAGTGGAACTGGGGAAGTACCTCTGAACTGGAACCAGTAACTGCAGACATACAGTATGTAAGACGTTCTTTCCTGTATATGGTATCCAAAGGAAGCCTCTATCACCCATTACAGCCACCTCCCACAAATGGCTGACAAATATTTATTGAGTGCCCACTATGTGCCAGGCACTGGTGTAGGTGCTGAAGTGGGCGGGAGGGGGCAGGGACCACTCCAGCTGATGATTGCACTCTCCCCACTTCCCTCAACAAACCATCGCAGGGATGAGGCGCCATTCTTCTGGTCACCACTATATTTAAGAACCTCAAATCTGTCAACCCATAATAAAGCTTATTTGAAGTCTTAATCTTTTTTTGGAAGAGTTGAGTGGAATGGGAAAAAATATGGAAATGACTGCATAGTGTTTTCTGAATTTTGTGCCCTACGGTCAAAGTCATCCCTTTGCATGGAGGCTTTAAGTACAGTTCAAAAACAAGAATAAGTAGATTTGGGGGTACTGTGTTAATTTAGAGTATCATCTGAAGGCAGGAATCTCTCATAGCCCAGGGAGAAACCACACACACATACACACACACACACACGACCATACATATCCTTTGTCTTCTCCCAAGGGCATTTAGTTATTCCTAAAGCCTCAAATTGAGGAAGATGGAGAGAGCATCTCAAACATTATCCACCTTTCAGAACCATGGTTATACCTCCTTAATGGTGATGGGCCTGAGACATGGAGGCATGAGGCATTTTGGCTTTCAAGCTAATAGTAACTACCATTTATTGAGCATTCAATATATGCCAAACACTTTTATCACATTTAATCCTCACATCAACCCTACAAGGCAGGTGCTGTTAAAATTCCATTTTACTCTTTGAGAAACTGAGGCACAGAGATTTTATTTGCCCAAGATTTCGAGGCATTAAGTGGTAGAACCAGATTTCTTCATCACATTTCATGCTCCAAACCACTCAGCTGTAAACACAATATGGCAGGTTGCCATTTAGGGGTCCTAAAATATCTCAATCCTGCTCCCACCCTGGTGCCAGGCAGCCTGACCAGCATTGAGACCAAGCCAGGGAGGTGGTTGTCTCCCTTTTCTATTTCTCTATCCTTCATTCATGACCAGAGGAAAGTTTCCCCTGACCCTCGTCTCACATTTGGTACATACCTTGTACCCTGAATAGACAGTAAGCACCTGGAGGGCAGGGATAACTATTCAATGCATATTTATTGAATACTTACCATGTGTTGGAGCCACTGCTAGGGGTATATGTATATGTTTGAGGGCCCAACATTCCTGGGTCTCAGTCCTCTGCCTCCCACTGGAACCATGCCCCTCCCAGTCCCCATAAGTCTGTGGGAAGCTGGGACATAGGGGAGGGTCAAAGCCTACATCGGGGTCCTCTTAGGAAAGGGACCTGGGGGCGGGAGGGGGGTTCTGAGGAGTAAAACCACTTCCTGTGTAGCTAGTTCCTGTGTTGACAGAAAGAGCTTAAGGGGAGGAGGGGAGTGGAGAGAACAGGAGCCTGGGGCTGGGGGTCTACTGAGACTCGAGAAGGCCAAGAGTCCTTCCCCATCATGAACGCCCTCCACTACTGCAGCTGGAAGAGCTTTTCACAGTCTCTGTGCTCCCCTGGGGCAAGAGAGGTCGAGCAAGCAGTTTGGGTGGGAAAAGAGAACTGGAGGAAGTTGACAGGGATGGGCGGGGCCCGTGGGGGGGCTGACCAGGAACCCAGCTTCCTGCTCAGTACCCAGGCATCCAGCCCCTGGCTCACCCCCACCCCTTCCAGCCCCCACTCCCCTCAGGAACCCAGGGTTCCAGCCCTCCTCCCAAATCCCTGCTACCCCTCCCCCATCAGTTTCTCCCCCCCAGGGGATGGAGGCCGAGAGACCCCAGGAAGAAGAGGAAGGTGACCAGGTGAGCTGCGCACTGGGTCGGGGAGGCGGACACTGGGAGAAAGGGAGGTGAGAAGACCTGGGGCAGCGACGTAGTAACAGGGGACTCAGGGGACTTAGAAGGGCTTGGGCAAACTGAGGCAGGAACAGAGACACACTGAGAGAGGAAATGGGCTGTTGGCCTAGCCCCCCGCCCACCACACCCCCGCCTAATTGGACCGGATGTCTCCCAGGATCAGGGCCCCCATCAGGATGAGTTTGACTGGCCCCCTGTGAACACCACCGCTCGGCCTTGGCGATCTGCTCCTCCGTCCCCTCCTCCTCCAGGAACCCGCCACACAGGTACCCTCATCCACCCAGGGAGCTCCCTGACCATGGTGCCCACGTCCTTCCTGATCCCATTACCAAGGCCCCCTCCATCGTGGGCCCTCTCCCCACCTCCTCCTGACTCCCCATTACACCCCCTCAGCTCTGACCCCAAGTGCCTAATCACCTTGCACCACCAACCCTCCTGTCTGCCAATTTCTCTGGGTCTCTGAGCCCTACCCCTCCTCTCCCCAGCCCTGGGGCCCCGCTCCGCCTCCCTGCTCTCCCTACAGACTGAGCTCCTTCTGGATTTGGTGGCTGAGGCCCAGTCCCGCCGCCTAGAGGAGCAGAGAGCCACCTTCCACATCCCCCAGAACCTCCCAAGCATAGCCCCAGCCCCACTCCGGCCTCTTGAGGACAGAGAACAGCTCTACAGCACTATCCTCAGTCACCAGGTGAGACACCTCCCCAGAAGGCAAGACTGAGGCTTCCTGGTCCCTTGGCCCTTGTTGTCTTTTGGGCCCTACCCCTCTTTCTCCCCAGCATCTGCCCCCTTGCCAGGCCTAGTCCCCCCGTGCCCATCACAGGTGTCCCCTATACCCCTTCACCAGCCTTGGCTCCTATCAAGGCCTGTTCCTCTTAAAACCTCACCAACACCCTTCCTTCCCTCCACTCCTTCAGTGCCAGCGGATGGAAGCCCAGCGGTCAGAGCCTCCCCTACCCCCAGGGGGACAGGAGCTCCTGGAGTTGCTGCTGAGAGTTCAGGGTGGGGGTCGAATGGAGGAGCAAAGGTCCCGGCCCCCCACACATACCTGCTGAGACTTCAGCCCGCCCCTACCAGCCACTCCGCACTCCTGGGGCTCAAAGCTGGGCAGCCCACTGCATGCCCTCAACTCCTGCTTGGCAGGGGCACCAGAGACTGGAGGCCCCAGGAGAAATCTCAATATTCATCACCCTCATCCACCTTTCCTGGGAATGGAGGGGGTGAAAGTCCTCAAACCCTGGGCATAGTCAAAGTAGGATGTCATTTAACTCCCTCCCCCAGTATGTAGGAGCTTGAAGCAGTGAAAGGATCCCAGCCACTGAGGGACACCCCACCCCCTCCTCTGATCCCAAGTAGTGGCAGTAAGTCCTGAGCTGTGGAGACACCCCCAGTAGTCTAGCCACTAGGCAGAATCTGAGGGCTCAGGCCTCCATCTCCCAAGAAAAGGCAAATCTCCCAAGGTTAGGGCCTGACAGACAGTTCCACCCTCCTTTTCAATAAGAAGAGAGGGCATTGCAAAGAGATAGATCATTCCCCCACCCCACCACCAGCACCCCCAGCCCCAGGACTAAGGGGCCTACAGGCTGTGAATGGACACTTAGCACTGCCCCCCCAACCTCCCCACTGCTGCTCTGAGTCTGATGTTTTGGTTGTATGAATAAATGTAATTCTCTTCCAAACTGAAGAAGACTGGTGTTTGGGGCTGCGGGGGGGGGGGGGGGGGGGAGGCGCGAGGGAAGGCGGGAGGAAGGTGAGGCCAGAGGCCGCCTCTCTCCCTAGTCTGGCGAGAGGCCAGCTCCCCTCCCTGGCTGGTTAATTACTGGCTCATTAAGCAACGGCTGGAGACCTCCCTAATTATACCCCCCCAGCCCCCCTCTCCTGGTTTTAATTAAGTAGAACAGGGAGGGGAGTCATTAGGACAAGAAATATGAACTGCGCTGTCTGTGAACCCAGGCATTCTAGCGGCCAGAGCCCACAACACCTAGATCCCTAATTCGGAACCCAGGTGGCGGCCCCCTCGCCCAGCAGGCCCCGCTTCCCAGGCCGACGACGTGCAGCCCCGGGGCCTTCGCGTATTTTCCCCGAAGGTCTAGTCTCCTCCCCTCGTCTCCTCTTCCCTCTCCCCTCCTCCACTCGGTCCCAGTTCCTCTGTTTCTGTGTGTCTCTCTCCGCCCCCAGCTCCTCCCTGTTCCTCCTCTCTTCTCCCCTCCTCTTCCTCCCCGGCTCCCCTCCCCCAGCCTCCCTCCCTCGCTCCCCCCTTCTCCCTCCTCCCTCCTCTCTCTCTCTCTCTCACACACACCCCCGCTTGGGCCTCCTCTCTCTCTCCGGCTCCATTTTCTCCGCCGCCGGGGGCCGGGGTCTCCTGTGGGGGGCCCAGCCGGTACCCCAGGTCTCCCTTCAGGGCCAGGGTGAACCTCCGGGGGAGTCGGGAGGGGGAAACGGGTGGGGGTTGGGGCGGAGGGACCAGCGGGCCCCACCGAGTTTGGGGGGGGGGAAGTAACCAGGCGGGGGGAGGGGCGGAGCAGGGAGGGGGCCTCAGGGCCCCCCCCCAAACTATGGACGAGCGGCTGCTGGGGCCGCCCCCTCCAGGCGGGGGCCGGGGGGGCCTGGGATTGGTGGGTGGGGAGCCTGGGGGCCCTGGCGAGCCTCCCGGCGGCGGAGACCCCGGTGGGGGTAGCGGGGGGGTCCCGGGAGGCCGAGGGAAGCAAGACATCGGGGACATTCTGCAGCAGATAATGACCATCACCGACCAGAGCCTGGACGAGGCCCAGGCCAAGTGAGTGCCCCCACCCCGGGACCCTACACAGACCCAGCTGAAGCCCCATTCACAAGCTCTGAATCTTCTGGGAGTCCCCACCCCCACCCCCCACTCCAGGACCCTCTCCAGGATCCTACAGCTCTCTTCTCTCCTTACTCCTGGGAGCCTCAAGATAAGCCATCCCTCTCAAACCTCCCTTCACCACCAGACCCTGAAACCTTCAAAGAGGGGAGCCCAGGGTGGTCTCACTGCCCCCCCACCTTTCACTGACACACCCCCCCACATACTCCCCTGGAACATCCTTCCACCTCCAGAGCCAGGTTCTGGCTCTCAGACTAAGAAACTGTTATGCTGTCTTCTTAACTCTCCACCCAGCCCACCCTCATCCTTTCCAGCCCTCAGCCCTCCCCAAAGCTCCTACCACTCCTCTCCACCATGGCCCAGCCTCCAAGGGTCCTCACCCAGCCCTTGGCCCCTGCTCAGCCAGAAACTAGGAGTATCAGAGCCTCCTGCCTTGCTCAGTCCCAGGACCCTCCATACACCTCTGTACTGAACTCCCCCGCCCCCTCTCTGGCACCTCAAACTCTGACCCTTCTCACAATCTCCATCTCTTTTCCTCTGAAATCT